TTTCCATCACACTTTTCAACCTTTAGATTGTTGACATTGAATTTTCTTTTTAATGTGAAGCCAATATTTTATAATTACTGATTTGTTAAATTAAATTTGTAAATAAGAATTATTAAACAGCTGATAACGCGTGATTTGATTAGACACCACAATACCTACGACAAAGTTAAACACAGTCGGCCTGTTTAAATGGTGTTTATCAAAATATTTACAATAATTTAAAGATCATAAACAAACTTACAGTTTAATTTGCACTCGCACGGCGTTGTCGTTTTAAAACATTTTGAAAATGTCCACCGCCTTGTTCAATGCACTTTAATGACCGTTTTCGCAATTGTGGTTTTATTTTAGATAATACTGCAATGTCACTTTTCACTTTTACAAAAGCGGTTATTATCTTATTTTTTACTTCCTCGGCACTTGTTATCTCTGTGTTATAAACTAGCGATTTAATTCGCCCCCACAAAAAAAAGTCGAGTCGCGTCAAATCAGCTGATCTAGGAGGTTAATGGACACGTGCGTAGGTATTTGATGTATTGAATGTTAGTGTACCGAAACGACACAGCGAAATGCGCGACTAAGATTTTATTTGCACTTTACACTTGACCTCTTTTCGATAAGGTGGACGCGGCGTGACTAACTTACCTAAAACACATTTTGTTGACTTCGATGTTTAGTTATTATTACTCTGATTCCCGGAATTATGCCTGCCGTCTCGCTCTATTGTAATGTTATTAAGCTGAAGAAAGAAGGAGAAAGTAATAATTTTTGTATTACGCGGCTTTCTTTTATGCACTGTAGTGACCTTGCTGTGTGCCGGTTGTCGCTATGGTGTTGCGTGCGTAGTTATTATTAAATACTATTTTAGCCTTGAAATAAGTATCAGTTTTCTTTAATTGAATGATGATTACTAATTAAATATTTCATTTTAAAAATCTTAATACCCTGACTTACGATCCATTTCCGTTTCCATTAATTTTCGTTTCTATGAAGTGTTTAGATAACTGTGTGTAGGGTGACTATAATTTACTTAGTTCTATCTAAATTTGAGAAAAAAAATGACCTACATAAAAAACTATCAAAATCGATCCAGTATCCGATTCTGATCAAACTACTTTCAGGGTGTGCTTTAATTCTGTTACACGTTGTATATACAGTGTATATGAAAATGTGTTATCAGTATCGAAAATGTAACACAATCAAACAACTTACATTTACAAACTCTTCAATAAAAATAATAAAATTAAATATTAAATGATTGTTATACGTACAGTAACAAAATATTTGTACCCACTGGTATAACACGATGAGACTCTATGAACCTATCCAGAAAGCGCGATTTAGGCGCGAGTCAACACGCGCGTTTTGGTTTGTATAGTGTCCAGATGCGGCGAAATCAAACGCGTATGTGATGAGACGGATTTGGTCAGTTATAAAAATGGAATGATTCCATATCCCATATAGCTACCCTTTTCTCAATTTCGTCAATAAAAAGTTCCGTATCAAAGTTTTCACGCTCCATTTTTAAAAAACGAATACTTCCACCCGCGGCTCGTCACGGACACGCGCGTCTTTCTGGAATCTGGACTCGCGCGTAAATCGCGCTTTCTGGACAGGCTCTATGGCGCCATCACACCTACTGCGCTACTAGTGACGAACTCGAACGTACATTCACATTATTTTGATTGTTTAATCACTTTAACGATTCACTGATACCACTTTTTTCAAATATCGATACGTTCCACTATGTTACAAATCAATTTAAAATAACAGTTAATAATAACATCTACTTGACTGCCATGAATGTGTTGCCCGCCTTATACTTCTATGCATTTACGGCATCGGGAAATAAAGTTAGCATGTACATTTTGTAAGACAGATGTATTGGATTTTATTTCTTCGAATTAAACAACGCAATTTTATAAAACCGTAACCAAAAAGTGATCCACTTGGAAGAAATTTCCACGAGGAACTAACTAATTTTTTTTATTAAAAGGGCGGCATAGGCTCGAATAAAAAAAAAATCGATAAATGAAAATATAGATATTTAAAAAATCATAACAATAAATAAATATTTAATATTCTTATTATTTCAATACTTATTTTGATATATCAAACATTAATATTATTTTTGATTGTAAAACACAATTTTTAACAGAAGTAGATCAAAGACATAGTTAATTTACCTGAAGAAGTTCCAAATTATAATATTGATTAATAATATTTATTATTAATACAAGTTATTTTAAATGAAATTATTTTAATGTGAAAAGCATAACTATTTATAGCGATATACCTAATTTTTAAATTTGCAACTCTCTATTCGAACAACTAACAAAAGACGCGTCGCGCCACGCCGGCGCCCCGTTTTTGGTTCGTTGGATTTGTCTCGGTCTCTAATAGCGGAATACATCTTAAAAATATGTAATAAAAATTTGGCGAAAACAACTATAAAAGATGAATAACTTTACCTAAATGTCACTTTGTACCTGTCAAACATTTGTTGTCCATCCTGTCAAATACTATTAGTAATGGTTGACATGCGTTCATAAATTTATTTAGTGTAAATTAAAGACTATATCTATAAAACAATTTCTAAGATATATTTTATACATTAACGAAAACGTAAGTGTCTTTTTATGTCATATCTAATTTTTAAGAGATATTAATTATAGTGCGCAAGACATAAGCTGAGCTTTGCATTTGTGTAATTATATTAGTCTATGATAAACTATTGTATCTGTCTTAAAATTTCAGTTATTCTTTGATTTTGTTTGATTTGTGTGGTTTTGTACGAGTACATAATACCTACATATTCAGTTTTACTATTCATAACAATGTTGCGTCCTAGGAGATCTAATCTTTCCTAGCGAAGCCGTAATTGACTCCGCCACCAGAGCCATTGTATTCCTTACTTTATCTTGAAACACCAGAATCAAGACATTTTCTAGCGAACACTCAAAAATACAATAGCTGTTTTCAAATAACTTCATTTGGGCAGAAATTGTCGAAGAACACATAACATATTAACATATTTCGACATTTAAGGTAATTTATGTTAAAGTCTTTATATTCTGTGACGGTGAAAAATTGTTGGAATGTAGTTTGTTTCTGTATTTGTCAATAAAACAAAAATTTCATGTTACCATTTGAAAACCAAAGTGATTGTAAATCTAACTATAGCTTTGACTTTACAGATTCAAGGCCAAATCTACCATCGCATTGGATCATTGCAACATTTAGCAGATGCTCTGCATAAATTCCTGCAAGTATACATCATAGGCAATAAGGAAGAACAACTTGCACGGTGTCTAGCAATCAACACAGCTATGAAAAGAGCAATTCTCCAAGATCTGCAGCAATTGCTTCATGAACATCATGCATTGCTCAGGCTGTTCAAGACTGGGTTAGCGTGCATGCCAAGTGATGATTATAAAGTTGTGGTCAGAGCTAAGTGTTTGTGGTAATCTTGAAAATTCATGTTTTTCGTATATTTCGTATATGTCGCCTGTTTCCGTTTGGGAATACTAACAACACTATTTATATACCAGAAAATAAAACTAAGAATATTTTGTATCATAAAGCATTAGAATAATTAACACTTTGTTTTTGGAATAATGTTGATTTATTAATATACCAACTAGAATTCAATAATCACAGTTAAGAAGACAGACCACTGTCTGCCGAGTTAGCTGTACATAATTAAGAAATTAACTTCATTGAGATAAAAAGATGACAGATATTTCTTGATTATAGGGTGGTACGAAGTCGGCCAGGTCATCTAGAATTTATTTAAAATTTACTGTCTTATAGGGTTGCATGGTGATTTCAACAATGTCCATGTAAAAAAGATTCAATTATTTTATATAGGAATATTATTTGAATATTTTCATAAATTATTTTTGTAAACAAATGAATAAATGTTTGTTTGTGATTTAAATTATTGACATTTTTTTGTTAATATAAGGTAAGAAATAATTGTATATAAGTCACTTCTTTAGCTGAATTGGGAATTTAAAAATGATAAAAGTATTTTTTCTCTTATTCCCAAACTTGTTTAAAATAATGATAACCAACAACTGCATTTTTATATAGGATTTAACCATCAACACATGTAACTTTTCTGAATGGTATTAAAATTAAATATTACATTAAGATCCCACAAAGAGCTTTGAAGGAGAAAAGAGAATCTTTTCAATGAATAATATCAACTTGGCTGAATTCTTGAAGTCGATTTACCATCTCTAAATTAAGGAATATGAAATATTGTCAAGATATAAATTATGTGTATAATAATTATTTTTTAATAAATATAAAATTCTGCTTTTGTTGAATAAAAGATAATTGGTTATTTTGGGACGCACACAGTGGGGACTCTATATTTTAATTTACCCTATATTAAACTTTTTTCCCCGAACCATATAGCACTTAAATAAAAGCCTTCTAGTCCCAGAGACAAATTAATTTCAACTCAAAGTAATCCTATCATTGTTATTGCGATTTTTGAGACAGCATTTCACCTGGGAAAATATGAATTATGTTTTAAAATGTTTTCGCTTTCACATAGTTCTGAAGTAGGCACTAATGGAGCTTACAAACTTTATGTTATAAATGTTGTTGCGTACTTGTTTCTGATTTGCCTTTTATTTTGAATTAAAATATAAAGTAAATAATTATAGAAATATTTTATTACTACTTCTAAGATATATTAATCTCAAATAAAAAAGAAACACAATATTATGTATTATTTAAGTACTCTTTTGACATTGTCAGTAGAGAAGTAAATTTAAATAACATGTACCAGTTCATAAAATATTACTTGTCTCTATCATATTTCCCCATATAACATACACTTCATAACTCCCCATTTATTTGTGACAGACGAAACTTCTCAGCATTCCATGGATTCACCGTGCGGGTGCCGGGTCCATCGCGTTGCAGGGGGAGGAGCTTCAACAGTGCCTGGGACTTGCGACCCAAGTGTAGGTTTAAGGGGCCCCTTAACTAACGCGCGTTATACGCTCACCTCCACTGTCCAAGCTCCTCTCCCTACCTAACCAAATTTGAAAAGAACCTACTAGGGCTGCCTTCGATGTACGTTCCAAGAATGCATTAATGTGAGTTCTGGACAAGCCCAAGTCCTTTAGTAGGTTATAGAGAGATTTCGCTGTTATACCTCTCGCTCCCACCTCTACCGCGTACAAATCTACTACGAACCTATTTCGAGTGAGTTCGTTTGTGAGCTCGTAATATTTGTTGACCTTGATGGTATGGTCTTTGGGGATGTTGGTTTCCCAAGGGACCGTAAGCTCTATCATCACTACGCGCTTTAAAATTCGCGAAAACAAAAATATATCCGGTCTGGAGGCCGACGCACAAATATCCTCGGGGATTTTATATTGTTTTTCATACGTGTCCATCATTATAGTCCAATCCGACGCCGCTTTAAGGATGGAGTAAGGCTTGACGTTTGATTTTGTAGCCCTAGTGCCTTCTCTCACAAAACCTACTGATCGTTCGTTTGTGGTTATTCCCTTTTGCGCTCTGGCTACCGAAAGACTAACCGCTTCACGTATGACTTCTAGAACCCTATCGTGACGACGCGAGTATTGACCGCTGTCAAGGAGTACCTTACATCCCACCAGCAGATGCTTAGCAGTTCCAACTGCCTTTCCACAGATATAGCAAGTTTTTTCGGTACTTTTACCCCATCTTACTAAATTACTCTGATCTGGGAGAGTCATCTGGAACGCATTGAGATAGAATTTTAGCAATGCTGGCGACCAATCATAAATTAAAGTGCGCCATTTTAATGCTAATGGGATGCAAAAATCTCCTATGTCTAACCACTCGTTCTGCATTTCTAAATTCATTGCATGGATCTTATATTTATCATTCTCGTCTTGCCGAATAAAAGACTTCAATATATCCGCATCTTGGACTTTCCTATTTGATCCTAACCCCGCTCTGTTACTTTGTGCTCCTATCATAAATTGCTTATGGAATTGAAGTCGTGACTCTAGCTCGGGGGCATCTTCATCTTTTGGGAGCGATGTCACTATGTCATCATGGGATTTCCCCAGGATATATCTCTTGGAAACTCTTAGGTGTTTATAGAGCTCCGATGGCCTTTTTAGACTCATCCCAAAACTATTGCTTCCCCTAAATAACGCCGATGAATCAGCCGTTAGAGCGAGCCCGAGCCACAACTTCAACATCTTTATGACGCCTGCATCTAACTTTGACAAAAGGGTTTTATTAAAATCATAGACGAGGAAAGGCCAATTCAAACGTGAAGTTAAGTAATTCTCGTAGATCCACGCTTTTTTGACGTTACTTATCAGTTGGCTATCTACCTTGTTAAGATCGTTCAAAAAGCTATCTACTATTCCTTCTAAAGATGGAGTACGGCCTATATTATCTATCTTACGACCGAGAAATTTAAATGGTGCATTTTCCGTAACCGTAGAAATGCATTGACCGCCTAACGATAGTCCCGGATCGTATGAGGTGTATCTTGTATTCCGCCTACCAAGACACAGACAGTGACATTTACTGGGTTTTGTCCTCAATCCATCCGTCCACTCACAGAATTTATCCACTTCATCCAATAGTACCTGACAGTGTTTGGGGTTACGTGTCAGTATTGCGAGATCGTCAGCGAAGGCTAAAATGGATTCCGTGTATTTATTATTAAACTTAAACCGATAACCCCATTTTTTCTCGTTACAGATTAATTTGTCTACTAAGATGTTAATTACGATATTAAACGCAATTGGAGATAGACAACAACCTTGAAACAGTCCTACATTATAACTCAAACTTTTTGAAGGGCCTTCTTTAGTTATTATAGAAAACCTTAATTTTGAGTAATACGACGCGATCATATCTCTAACTAGGGGTGGAAAGTTGTACCATCTAAGCGCGAATAGCATCAATTCGTGTTGTATCGACCCGAACGCGTTCTCCAAGTCTATCCAACAAACGGTGATTTGCCGCTCGCTTTTTCTAGCATCTTTTAAACTCTCCGACAGCAAGGTGTTGTGTTCTAAGCATCCAGAGATACCGGGTAAAAACCCTTTCTGGTGATTTGGCCTAAAATAGTTGTTGCTGAGCATGAATCGCGTCATTCTCGTTTGTAGAACCGAGAAAAAGATTTTCGATATAGTATTTGTTAAAGCTATCGGTCTAGTATCTTTCGGATCAGTAACTCGATCTTTTTTGGGAATGAGGACAAAAATTGCTTTCCCGAAGCACTCCGGGATTTGCTTCCTTGACCAGATTTTACCGTATATATTTAGGAGGTGTTTACGAACCGATGCACATTTTTTAAAGACTATATATGGGATACCATCGGGTCCCGGTGCAGATTTAGACGACTTCCTCTTGATCTGACTACTTAGTTCCTCTAGCGTTGGTGGAATGCCGTGGAATTCACAAAATCACTGAATACGAAATTTGGGGTCCTCATTAAAGTAAAAGGGATTCAAAAATTCACAAGCCCTATGAGTGTGGTATTGTACGATAAGGTTTTGTTCCCTTCTATATTTTTTTAAAATTTTGTACACACTCTACTGAATGTCTAGTTTATTGTTATCTCCCACTATGTTAATTTTGCAGTAATAGCTGTTTTGAAAAATCTTCAATCGCAGAGTGTGGGTTTTAAATAGATTTTTTTTCATCTCCAAACATCCAACTCTACTATTCAATACAACATCTTGTCATTAAGTAAGGAATACATAAAACAATTGATATAAGTTCTTGTTATTAAGTAAGGAATACATAAAACAATTGGTCTACGCTGGATGGTATTAGTCGTGAAATTTTTTAAGATTATTTTAAATAAAAATTAATTTAAAAAGTTCTTCGACATGAAATTGTTAAAATAAGCAATATTAGATTATGAATTTTACATACATAATGTTCCTATTTTGTGAGTAGCCTAAACCAGAATATACTCGTATGTATTTGTTTATTATTACTTTAAATGCATGTAATTAATTTTCTATTACGACATTAGATTAAAGCCTACAAACTTGGTTTTAGTATTTCTTTTTTCTTGTTTTCTGTTGTAGGTTTGTTTTCACATGTAAGTATTTTTTTTATTTTATTATTCTAAATTTTAACCAAAACTTCGACTACTTTGGAGTAACTAGACTGAAGGCAAGGGAGTTGGAGGTATCTGTTGGTAGTCTCGTCATAATATTTACGATTCTAGACATAAAAATGACAACAAGAAATATTCCACCGATTTTCTTTCTTTGAAATCAGTTAATTTGTGACATAGAAATATACACAATGTTGTTTTCCAACAGACATGTGTCAACTGTATAGTAGGTACCTATTGGTCATCCTGTGGAAAGTGATCGGTGGAAAAAAATTATCTTCTTTTTGTTTATTCAAGATGTTTCGTTGCCGTTGTTTGCCTTAATTCTATGAACTAATGGCATTATTTCTATAAAACTTCCTGAAAAATCTCTTTGATAGAAAAACATAAGTGTAAAGAACCAACCAAGTGTTTTCAATTGAATTCTTAATAATTTTAATTAGCGTCAAATTTACATTCAGCTAAATTTAAAACAGAACGTGTATTTTGATCAGTACACACAAAATCACGTATTTGATTCCTCGTCTACGGGGTAGGGGCTGTACGCTCTTAAAGAGGAAAGGGGACACCAGACAATTTAAATTTTATACCCTTCACATCAATCATATTTTAAAATTCTGGCATACAAGGAACAAAAAAAAGAATGACCAAATAAAGAAAGTTATTTTAATGAAATATGTAGGTACTAAAATGCTAAGGAATTTTTACACAATTTAGAAATAAGTATAGAAATTTGAGGTCGAAAGTACATGCCTGTAAGTAGACTCAGTTAAACGATTTTAATCCACAAGAACACAACCTGCATGCTTGATGAAGATATTGGAGGTGATTGCGTGATGACTGATGTGTAAAAGCTTTATCACTATTTAACTGAATATCGGTAGCATCATAGATAGCTTGATTATATTATATCAGTATATTACTAAATTTATATTTTATTACTAAAAATATGTATCTTTGTATTGAAGTACTTATAAGATAATACATATTTAATTGATATATAGGTATGAATATTATATATAAAATGAAAAATTTATTGACAAATTATATTCTATTCATATGATATGAACATGTATAAAATGCCTGTGGTTTTTAGTTAAAACCGAATAACGACACATTTCCAAGCACGTTTGCGAAACAACAATTACATAAATAAGTATATTAAATTGATATGATATGAACGTATTTATATCTATGTTCAGTAATAAATTCAATTTGTTTTGTTTATGTTATAACTGATAAAAGACAAATAGTACCTGACGTTATTTAGATCAATTAATTTAGCTATTTTCATTAGATAGGAATATATTAAACCATTCTAATAACAAATTAATCAAAGCATTCAAATTGTTGACACACAAGTATCGATTTAGATCACTGAATAGAGGAATTAAGATGTACCCTAGTATACTCGTAAGTTAGATAAGATTTCGTGGTCGTAATATTCAATCAAAATATTTTATTGGAAAGTAACCCCCAAGACCTATTGTAACGATTTGTATAAAATTAAATGTTAGGTAGATTTAAAGAAAACATTCCTACGCTAGGTTCTCTTCCAAATTTTTGAGTAACAATCTAGCTCGAGAGCTGGTATTAGGTAAAAAAATAAGTTACAATTTTTTTCAAAAATCTCTATAGCTAAATTTGTTCTTCCTCTTCTTCTTGGCAATTTCCCAGCATTAGCCAGGGTCTACCTTCCTGCTTAAACTCCTCCACTTTGTACGGTCTTTTGTATCCTTGGTTTTAAGTCCATTGGCCCTCATATCCTGCTCCACGGTGTCAATACCAACAATCGTGCAACGTAGCCATACCATCTCAGGCGACTCTCTTGAAGCTTATCCGCTATGTCATGGAGTCCAAGACTACCTCGGATAAATGTGTTACGTATGCGGTCAGCCCGCGTAACGCCACACATCCACTTCAGCATCTTCATCTCCGTGACTTGAAGCTCCTGAGTGTGCCTGGACAGTACTGGCCAACATTCGCTGCCATATAAGAGAACCGGTCGGATTTACATAAACTACTACTACTATACTAAGTTTTTTGAGTATATAATATTCTAAGTTAAATCATATGATGTATATACATACTACATATATATCGTTAGCGTTTATGAAATAAAATAAAATATAATTACAGTGTAATGTAAAGAAAATATTTCTATTTTATGTAAATAAATTTTAAAAATAATAAAACGAAATCAACATAAAATATATTACAATACTACAGTACCGATTATATGAATTATCTTTATTTTTTTTCTGTTCGACATTCATATTTCTGTGACATAAAAATGACAGTGCAATGACCTGATTTATTGGAAAGAACCAGAAGGTTTAAATAAATGGTAATTTTAATATTTTCAAGTGATTTTAAGTAATCGCATTATATTGAAAATTTATTAAAATTGCTCCAGATATCCTTTGTAGGGTATCAAATTATTGATAACCAAAATGTTAAAATTTAAGATTAATCATATACAAATATAATAATAATATATGAACAGTAAATTAAGCAAGCGATTTATTTTGTGGTAGGTATATATTACGAACGATTTCCTTAATATACATATACACTGGCTAACTTCGTAATTGTATTTACTAAATTATGTATAATATGAACTCAATTGTTTATTGTGTGAATCGATAAGTCAAACAAAAATTTGATTTCGAAAGTTTATAATAGAATTTAATCCAAATGAATGAAATTGATGCAAGAATTTAATCAATTTAAAAGGATTACATACCGATGCAACAACAAATGTAATATGCTTGACATAAAACGCAGAATAATTTTTATAAATATGCCGTCATGGTTCGGATCTATTTACCATCGCTTATTAAGTGCCTTTTTAAAAATGAGGATGAGACGAAACTTCTTAGCATTCCACGGATTCACCGTGCGGGTGCCGGGTCCATCGCGTTGCAGGGAGAGGAGCTTCAATAGTGCCTAGGACTTGCGACCCAAGTGTAGGTTTAAGGGGCCCGTTATCTAACGCGCGTTAAACGCTTACCTCGCTCCCACTTCTACCGCGTACAAATCCACGATGAATCTGTTTCGAGTGAGTTCATTTGTGAGGTCGTAATATATGTTGACCTTGGTGGTATGGTCTTTGGGGATGTTGGTTTCCCAAGAAACGTAAGCTCTATAATCACTACGCGGTTTAAAATTCGCTAATACAAAAATATATCTGATCTTGAGGCCGACGCACAAATATCCTCGGGGATTTTGTATTGTTTTTCATACGTGTCCATCATTGTAGTAAAATCCGACGCCGCTTTAAGGAGGGAGTAAGGCTTGACATTTGATTTTGTAATAAAATACAAAAAGTAATTCCGAAAACCTGCTGTTATTTAGAGTCGCATAAGTTTGAAAATATTTTATCCTAACTCAACTTAATAGCGAACTAGGCGATAGTTTAATTGTTTTAAAGTAAAAGGAGATGAATTTATCAAATAGTAGTGAAGTAAGATTATACGTATGTTAAACAATATGCTTCATCTTTGTCTGTGAAAACGTGTTTACAAGTACTTCCGATAAAATTAATATAAATCATTAATATTGTTTGTCAGTCAAATCCAACGATATTTATACAGTACTAGAATGCAATACCATAAGATGTTTTGAATATTTACTATATTATATGTATAAATTAACCCTATTATTTTATAAAAAACTTATAATTTTAATTTCTCTTGGGTAAATAAAAATCCATCAAGCTTCTTTTTATCTCCAACAATAATAGAACAGTTTAATGTCTATTCTAATAATTGTAATAATGATTGTAATAATGATAAGTTTTTGTAAAAAATAATAACAGAATATGCTCAAATACTAACTTTAGTTTATAAACCTTGTTAACGTATCTGAGATTCAAGTTAGCTCGAGGAAGACAACTTCCAAACGAGAAGATGCCATGTAGGTAATTCGCTAGATTTTTATTCATGTTTTAAAGTTGTTACAAGATTAAATAATAAAACTCAGTCACTTTTAAGTTCTTCAAAGGTTACTTTAATCACTACT